CCTTCTCTGCTCAGAGTTAAAACACCAGAAGCAGTGCATCTGCTAGCAGAGCTGATCAAACCCATCAGCTTCTGCTTCAAAAAAAGACGGTTGCTGCAAGATTTGATATCCCGAAAAGGCAAAGCTGCTTTAAAGCATATTTTTATGTTAGCTTAGTGTTTTCGTGGCAGCACATGACTCCTGCTGAGTGCCTGAGCAGCTACTACACACACTGGATACTCAGCTCTGCAGAGCTCAGCCCTGCACACGGAGGCTTGGAATCCCAAGGGATTTTGGGGAACTTTGTGCATCCCACCAAAGCTTTATTTTTGCTGTGGGATTTGGTGGCGTCTCTTAATTGAGGCTGAAATACATAACCAGATAAAGAGGCTGAGGACATCCCTGTTTCCTCTATTGTCCACAGAATGTTTGGTTATGGAACCCAAAATCTGAGGTTTTGAGAGGCAAAGTCACCTTCCAGCTATCAAAACACTTCAGGTGAGGCAGATGGGAAAGCAGAAATATTATGTAGGTTTGGGCAGTAAAACTGACATTGAACCCATTTGCCTCGTTTTTCAGGCTCTGATGATAGTTAATGACAGCTTACAGAAGTTGTAAGTGATCTAAAAAAGCCATAAAAAGCTGCTTTGTGTCCTTGCTCAGGGGATGAATTTAACAAAACCATTACGGGGCTTTAAAACAGTGTTTTGACTTTCTAGAACCAGCTGTGGGATGATCCAGCTGCGGTCGGAGCCCTCTTGCATCTAAGAGAACATTTAAGAGGATTAATCCCAATAATTTTAATTCAACAAAATGACCTTATGTAACATTACTGAGGAATTAATGAGAATTCTTGCATGTGGGTCATCACCAGCCCAGTGGATTTTTTTCCTGGAGGATGTCATTGCTCCCAGGCAGCGCGGACCAAGTAGATTGACAGCACAGGCCATTACATGGGATCAGAAAGCGAGGCACTCGGAGCTGGGACCCCTTTTCTTCTGCTGCATTATTATTTGGGAACGCACAGAGGAGAGGAGCGCAGCTGTCAGCCTCCTCTGGTGCTATTTGAAACCCCTTTGCCCCGAGGCTTTTTGCACAGAAAAATGCAATCTCATCTAATGCAGGCACTGCTGCAGGAGTAGGTGCCGTCCAGCTGCCTCTCCTTAATCGAAAGAAATCCTGGTCTGATGGTTTTTGGCTGAGTTTCTTCGCTGTTCTCACTGAGCGGAGCGGGATGCGTATTAAAGCTAATTAGGTGCACATAGGGTAGTCAGTATTTGATCTTAATATTAAAGGCCCCAGGAGAGGGCAGGTTATCAAAGTTACACAATTCCAAATTGCAGTAGAAGCAAGCTGTGTCAGTGCCCTGGTGTTACATAAAGCCCCAGCCTGCCCCGCTCTGGTGCTGTGAGTGATGGGGTGGTTGGGGGCAGCCAGCCTGCAGCCCTCCTTGCTGCTTCTCCTTCCTCTTTGGGCAAAGTTCAGGTTTATTTTGTTTTATTGCTTTTGGGAGCATAAGGCAACTGATTTCAGGCAGAAAGGAGGATCTTGTGTTTGTTCTGTATTAGCAAGCATGATGGACTTATTCTCTGGATGTGCTCTAGGGCCTTTATGTCCTTCTTGCAGTGAGGGGCCCAACGCCGAGCACAGCACTTAAGGGAGTTAGGCATAGCGTGGGGTATACTTGTTCTCCAGGGAATGCCACCGTGGGCTTATTTTTCTGACTGTGTTTTGTTAGGTGAGAATGCTCCTACCTGGTGCCAGCTGCTCTGCTCTGCCTTCTGCTGAAATAGCTGCAGTGGCGTCTTTCATTTATCAACAGCCGTTCATTACTTTCAGGATGTATTGGTGTCTTTAGACTCTTGAACTTATTCTATATGCTCACAGTGGAAAGCAGAGTACAGGAAATAGAAGAACAACAAATCTCGCAGGTCAAGCAAGGGAAGGGGTGTTGGGACATCCCGAAGCACAGTGCAAGAAACAGCTCACCCCAATAGACACAGGGCAGGGAACTGAGAACGCAGCCCAGGAAACCATCTTTTGTCTCAACAGCATGCAGCTCAAGTTTGCATCACCCCTTGAGGCTGCCCAGAGCCAAAATGAAGCATTAAGAAAAGAATAACAGTAGAACTAAGAGCTGATTCAGACAAGCCACAGGACTGCAGGGACACAGCACCACGTTGGCAGTTTTCTTTGGTGTGCATCTTTCTGGTTCTTATCTGATTTAAAAAGGAAATGAAGAGTGTTCTGTGTATGCTTTATACACACATTGAGTACAGAGGTTTGGGGCAAATGCCATATCAGGTCCCTGCATGCCCAGAACGCAGTTGTTAGCTCGTGTCTGTTCACCATAGGCAGAGCTACAGCAGGAGCGACGTTCATTCTGAGCAGCCATGTGGGAGTTCCAAGTAACTTCACTTGTGGCTTTTTGGCCAGCAGCAGAGGTACGGAAGCACATGCCTGACCTTAATCAGACCTTGTGAAGGCATCAATTCCTTACATGCATCCTTATCAGACACATATTTTGCCTTGGGAGAGCAAGAAGGCTTCTGTCCTGGTTCATGCAATTTTCGCAGTTCTTCTGAACAGGGATAAGCAAAACGTATCCAGGGCTGCAGTCTGGCAGCACGTCTCAGTCTCCCGATGGATTTGCTTATTTTTTAACATGAACCAGCTGGTTAGTTGCAATAACATCTTTGCATGCAAGAAATACCTCAGTGATAAGTATTTAGTTTTGCGTGACCATAAGGTATTTCCTTCAGAAAGGAGATCATCCCCAGCTGGGATTTTATCAGAGCTCCATCCACGTTTCTTGGGTGGGCATTAAGAATCCAGGTTGAAAAAGTTAAGCTTTCTCAAATGAGCACTGCTTGGCCCCAGGGTGGCCCCGACGAAGGAGTTTGTTTTACTTTTCAAAAGCAGGCGTGGAGGCAAACAGGCATCTTGACCTCCATCTCAGAGCTCTTGCAGGATTGCGATGCACAGGGTGTCATTCCACAGCCGAGGTGGAAGAGGTGTGGAAGTAGTGAGAGATCTGTACCCTGCCATGGGTGTCTGCGCTGTGCTGCTGCAGCCTTTCACACACAAGGTCACGGGCATCTGCGTTCATTTAGTTTAACATAATCCAGGAGTTTTTAATCGCATTTCAGGCTATTAAATGAGTGAGAACAAAATCACTGGAATTTAGCTTCATAACTCTCCTGTAAACAAACTTTTTTAACCTCATGTTAAGATAAAAATCAATTTAAGAAATAGCTGATTATGTCCAGCAGAAAAAATTTCCATCAGAATTTGATCAACCCTTTCCCTTCCCTGTATATTAAAGTAAGATGTTTGCATTCTTATTTTTCCCCATTTGCAAACAAGGCTTGCAGTTTGCTTCTTTTTTCCTTTCATTCAACCTCTGCCCACCCTCACCAGAACCTGATATGAAACGCAAAGGCAGGGCGCTGCCAGCTGAAGCCCTGCAGCCTCCTTACAGCTACCTGCAGCCTTGCAGGTGAAGCTCATTGCCGTCCGAAAGCTGTGCAGTGACCTTTAACTGCCTTAATTTGTTCAGATGAAGATGAAGAGCAAGAACTGAATTGATAGGAACTGGACCGTTCATTTGCAAGGTGTTTGCTCACAGTAGACTTCTACTGTAATAATCTCCTGGCGATTTCTTGCCCAGTTTTATTCAAGTAAATCACTGTCATTTTAGGGATGTGCCCTGATACGGGGAAACTTCTTTCAGCTGGAAACATCCTGCTGATGGAAAGTAAATCGTCATAGGCAGAACAGAAACAGTATGGGATTTATTTTCTCTGCTAGGTCATTGGAAGTCTCCACGTATGTCTTTTGCAGTGATGCAGGCAGTTTGAAGCCACACAAGCAGGAAGTCAGCAGGAAGCATTTCAGCAGTTTTTGCTTGAGGTTTTGGAGCAGTTACAAAGTCCAGGAGATGCGGCAGGGCTGTGACAGGAGGAACAGCCTGCACACAAACCAGCTTTCAGGAGCTCCGTGCTCCATACCTGGTACATATCTACTTCTCCTTGAGAGCCCTTGGAGGACAGGTACTGTGAGACGGGAAAAAGGTGTAGACGTGGTGTCTGTCTTCCTTAAATATAGAGGAAGAAAAGAGGAGTAAAAGAGGTTAAAGTTTGGTCAACTTCTAGAAGCTTCCAAGGGAATTGAACTGCAATCAGTTTGTAAGCACCTAGGAAATAAAAGGACGGATGATTGACATCCTGCATGGATTATTCAAAAATGAGGCACATTAAACTGATCTCATTTCCTATTTTGGTAGGGAGTGGGACAGGAATAGTTCATAGAATCATGGAATCATAGAACATAGAATGAAAAGGGTTGCAAAGGAGCACAATGCTCATCCAGCTCCAACCCCCTGCTGTGTGCAGGTCACCAACCAGCAGCCCAGGCTGCCCAGAGCCACATCCAGCCTGGCCTCGAATGCCTGCAGGGATGGGGCATCCACAGCCTCCTTGGGCAGCCTGTTCCAGTGCCTCACCACCCTCTGGGTGAAAAACTTCCTCCTCATATCCAACCTAAACCTCCCCTGTCTCACTTTAAAACCCTTCTCCCTCGCCCTATCACTACCCACCCTCACAAACAGCCATTCCCCCTCCTGTTTATAGGCTCCCTTCAAGGATTGGAAGGCCGCAATGAGATCTCCCTGCAGCCTTGTCTTCTTAAAGCCAAGCAAGCCCAGTTCCCTCAGCCTTTCTTCGTAGGAGAGGTGCTCCAGATGGACAAATGTTCCCTCAGGACTGACCTGGGTGAACTGAATTCTGGCTTGGATCATTCCTCAGCTCGAGATGCAGCCCTGCTGTGCTGGAGGGACTGTGTGCTCCATCCAGAGCTGCCCTTTCCCAGCTGCTGGGTCGCCACATGTCAGCAGAGACATGCAGCGAAGTGATCTAGGGCTTTGCTTCTTTAATACGTCCATTTTTTGGTGAGAGGCTGAAGGCGCGTGAGTGCTTTGTTGAATGGAAGCCAAGGCGATTCTCTATGCAAGATGCAACCCCTGTTTCCAAGTATTTCATTTATTTTGCAATTAAGCAATAATCACTGAGGCACTGGGCGCTTCTTCAGGATTAATGACTTGCCGTGGGGTGGCAGAAGATCTGCTCTGCAGTGGAGCCCTTCTCCCCAGCAAATACCTGTCTGTTAATGGCATCCTAAAATGAGTATGACAATATAATGTGCAAACATATGGACTTTATGTCAGTGGCTGATGGATAGGAAGTAGGCATTGATAGGTACATTAGACAGGTTGATTCAGTTGTCTCGCACCATTCCATTCAGCACATGCTGTTTCATTAATCACTTGGTGAATGAAATGGCTTTTTAATTGCTTAGAATCGCTTTCAAAAATTACATCGTTGTCTCCCCCCCACAGCAACCCCTGGGATCCTCTTAAATCCTTTTCCTTTCTCTGCCCTGGGAAGAACAGGCTCTCATGTGGCAGAAAGGAGCCTCCCTACAGCAGCTTCCTTTGTATTTCAGACACAGAAAAATATACTAGCCATTTAGAAAACAGAGAATTCACATTTTTAGTGCTGAAAATCCTCAGTTCCTGCTAATTTGCAAGTTGCTTAAGGACTGGCCCACCCTGCCTGAACCTTTAACAACTTGACAGTCATACTGCCCTGCTCTTTTCTGTTAGTTCCTTTGCATTTTTTGTGGTCACAGTATCCAACACCCATTGCTGCTTGCATGCTGAAGCACACAAGCTGGATTCATAGAATTATAGAATCATAGAACCATAAAATGGCCTGGGTTGAAAAGGACCACAGTGATCATCTGATCCCAACCCCCTGCTGTGTGCAGGTCGCCAACCAGCAGCCCAGGCTGCCCAGAGCCACATCCAGCCTGGCCTCGAATGCCTGCAGGGATGGGGCATCCACAGCCTCCTTGGGCAGCCTGTGCCAGTGTGGATTAAGCCTCTCCCTAACAGTGTACCTCCCCAGGGTGGTCCCATAGGCAGTAAGGCACAGTTCTGCAGAAAGGTAAATCCCAAGCAGTTGAGCGACAGCGAGAACGTTCCCAAAGAACCATTGGAAAAGCCGCCAGAGGAGCCCAGCGATCGACTCACCGAGGCAAGCAAGAAGAAAAACATTTGCTAAGAGCATATAGGACAATAAACCAGTTCACAGTGTCCTAGTAGTCTTTGGAACAGCACTAGTCAGTGGGGATTCGCTCGCTCCAATCTTAGGTAATGTGCTCACTGCATGATTGATTAATCCGTAGGTACTTCCTACGGCAGAACTTCAATACTGGCATCAGCTGCGCTGCTTTTAGTCGTCGTGGCTGCCTTCCCAGAGAAATTTCACAGAGGAACAATCGAGTTTTTTTCCTCCGTGTTCTTTTATGCCCCGTTTCAAAGCAATGTTTTTATGCCCGTGCTTTGAACGCGTTGCCCCGTCAGCAGGATGTTCACTGAGGGATACCAGAGCCGCTCTGCACTGCTTGGTTCTGCCTCCTGAGAGCAGGGAGCCCTGTGATGTGGCAGGGAATTGGGAAACATGGAGCACTTAGAAACACAGGGTGTTTAGATGTGGAAGCGTTGGGCAGCAACTTCACGGCACGAGGCCTTTTCTGAGTTGCCCAGAGCCAACATTCTGCCCTCCGTACCCCAGAATCCCACCCCAAAACAGCCAAACACAAGGAGTGAATTATCTCTGCTGGTGCTTTTTCTGAATACCCACAGGGTCCCTCCTATGCAGAGCTCACAGAGGAGCAGGGGCTCTACCGAACTCCGGTGGGGCTGGTGCAGACCCTGTGCTTTGTGCCAGTCATAACTCTTCAGGCTTGACTGCAACTTTTGGCAAAGCAGACATTCCCAGAAGCTGTTAGAGAGCGTCCAAGGAGGGCTGTGAGATGGGGAAAGGTCTGGAGAGCATGGAGAGCGAGGAGCACTGAGGGCCCTCAGTCTGTTAGGGTCAGTGCCATGGTGGGAAAGCAGGGGGTTGGTCACTGGTGTTAGAATGCCTTTCGGTGAGGTTCACATCATGGCAAGTAGCTGTCGTTGTGCTTGTATCAGCCTTGTTCTTCATGTAGTCATCTGTTAATAACACGAGGCTGGCATCCAGCTCTGCTCTTCATGCCATCCCAGCACTGTATCTATTGCACTCTTGCATATGATCCTTGCTTGCTCTTCTTCTCCCTAGGGGAGATGCCAGCTCTGGTCAAAACCTCTGTTTGTGTATGTGATCTAGAAAAAAAAAGAAAGAAGAGTCGCATTATAGACAGGATGCTGGGTTCTATTAGTGAACGTATCCGTTACTGAAGGACTGTACGTTGTCCAGTGAGATCTGCAGATGAGAAAGGAAGAACTTCATTTTGGCTAAGCAGATCATCCTCTCTGCTAATATCTAAGAGACAGGATCATAACTTATGTCTTCACTGGGAAGAATTGCTGTCAAGCACAATTAGCTCTGTGAACTCGAGCCATTCTCTGGGCACGCCCTGGCTTAGTCCCTGAGTTGTAGAGATGAGGCACCAATCTTCCACCCTGCCCATGGCAATGTCATGCTACAAAACACAGGGATGTGTTTCCTGTGTCCAGCAGGCCAGCTGTGTGTCTACAGATAGGACCCAGCCTATAATGGCACACGTCTCATAATCTCATTTCCAATTCATCTTGCCTGAACTCAGGCAGCTGCTTAGCGCATTTTGCACAGGGGAAGTGATCCTGGCAGCAGGTCCAGCCAGGCTGCAGGGACTCAGCCCATCAGCTGGTTCTGACAGCACTGACAGACTGACGGAGCATCCAACGCACGGAGCTGCAGGACGTGGGCTTCAGTCCTGCAGTGCTTCCTGAGGGACACATAACGTGCCTCCAGGCTGCAGAGCTCCCAGCACTGCCTGGGAAGGCATGAAGGCCTGTGAAGATGTCAGGTGATACATTTATCCATGGCTGTGGCATGGATAAATGCACAGAGGGGGATTTTGACCCACTCCTTTTGGAAGGCACCCGGGAGTTGCTATGAAAAGGACTAGACAAAAAATAGTTTTCTGTCTTTTTTTTTTTTTTCTCAGTAGTTAAGACCTGATCTGTTGGTCGTTGTAAGCAGGGAATATACTTCCATAGGCCTTGTCAGAAAAGATAAGGTAGGACCTGGAAGCCTCCATGTGCAAGCAGGAGGTGAGGTCCAGCACTCATGGTACTGCTGGGTGCAGGGACAGCCTGCACCGGCCCTACATGAGACCTTGACAGAGAGCAGAAGGGATGTTAATTGCAGGCACTGGGCTCAGATGCATTAGTGGTAAGCAGCCAGAAGAGTTTGAAAAGAAATGATGACTAAATTAAGTGAATCAAGCTGCCAGATGTGCTCTTCAGATGAGCGCAGTTCTGTTTTCAGTGTCTCCCCCACTGAATGACATTCTCAATAGGTTTTTGTCCTCTCTACTTTCTCTTCAGGATCATCCATGAGGATGGCTTCTCTGGAGAAGACGTGAAGCAGTACAAGCCAGTGGTCTACAGCAACACTATACAGTCTCTGGCAGCTATTGTACGTGCCATGGATACCTTGGGCATCGAATACGGTGACAAGGAACGAAGGGTGAGTTAAAATCTCCACTTCTTGGTACAAAGAGCTGAGAACTGGGACACTCCTCAGCACAAACAAAACATGTCTGCACAATCTGAATGTCTTCGGGGGGAAAAGAAGTGAGGGGAAATGTTTACATTATTGTTACATGCCCATTGCATGGAGTTTTTTAAGAAATAGGTGCATAGGTGCAATTACACGTGATGTAACAGCTAAGGTAGGAAGTGTCACAACAACCTGGCGCCGGCCAGGCCACATGAAAAATAATTCTGTTCATCTAAGGGCAGTGAAGTGACAGGTACTGATAGATCTGAGGAAAGAGAGAGAAGATGTGTCCTGTCTGCTGTCTGTGCACAGGGCGTGTGTGGGAATGTCTCAGGGAGAAGTCCTGCTGCTCTTCAAATCCCTTCCACCAGCTGCTAATATAGGAAGGCTTTTAGAATGAACTGCACTTAGCAGGGACTTGACTGACTTTTACTCACATCTCTGCCATTCAAGCGTGTCCAAACAGCAATCTTGCATGCAAACAGGATGATCTGTTACTTCACTGAGGCTTTTACAGGCAGGATCTTAGGTAGCAGTGTTCATATAAGTCCATCAGAATAACAGTTTGATGTCTGGCAGCCTTGTGAGGCCACGCACCTAAGCAGGCCAGACCTTTCCCCGTTGCTCCTCTGTTGTTTTAACTAGCTCCCTATTTTTAAACAGTCTCCTTTACCAGCTGCCTGTGCTATCCTTTGCCTTTCCTTCCTGCATTTCTAGATCAAAGCAAACTCACAAGGCACTAGAGAAGTCAAGATCAGTCTTTTTGCAGAAAGCAACGCTACTTGCTTTCACTGGAAATATAACCATTTCAGTTTCAAGACCTGTTAAGGGCAAAGTCCTGTATGCCACTGAGTTTATCGTGGCTATTTTTAGGAAGCTATCAAATGACAGATGTATTACATACCTCAAACTCCTTATCTAAGAGTTGATAATAAAAGCATTTGCTGGAAGGGATGCCAAAATCCTGCTGTGGTGCTGCTGTATGAAGAGGTGCCTTATGTCTCCCAGTCGCAAAGGGGTGTTTTGATTTCTTTGCACTGAGGGATCTTTCCCACAGGAACCCTAAATCCTGGAGGCTCCTTCGTCCCAAACGCAGCAATGATACAATAATGGAGTTCTTGTGCGCTTGCCGAGAACTAATGCTGACGGCTTTCAAACTGACTACATTAATCTGTTGATTACTCAGTGACTCAGCTCTCAGCAAGGCAACGTATCTTGCCTCAGTGAAAACCTATGTCCAGGAAAACAGAAACAAATCATTCCCCATGTCTGATAAACAGTCTGTGGCAGACAGCTTTAAATTGTTAATTCTCTTTTCCCTGTTTAATGCCTGAAATCCTAATTCTTGGGGGGGGGAATTTAGCACTGCCCGAGTGCCAGGCTTGCAAAACAGGGGGCACAGATGGGGAGAGCTGTTATCAGAATGCCAGAATGAGGGGAAGGGCACTGGGCTGCATGGAATGTCATGTCCATTCATGTTCCTATGGAAAAGATTTGGAGTATCTTCTCCTTTTGTAGACATAATACAAAGGAGAGCAGAGAAGCCAAGCCTGCCTGCCATGGTCTTCCACTTGCTCCTTTCTTTTAGTCAACCTCCACAGAAAGTTGCTGGTATTAGCAGCAAATACTATTTATTTTAATCTCATGGCTTCTGCTACCCCACTTTTGTTATTAATACACAGCTGCTGTAGAGGCCATTAAACAGGCGATTTGTTGAGCATTATGCTGCACAGTTCATCCCTTTTCAAGCAAAGCTTTTCTATTTTAAAAGTCATTCCGCAGCCAAGGGTTTCCGATGCAAATCTTTTTGTGAGGGATTTTCCCTACTCATCACTTAAGCCTCCAGGAAAACAGACCTGGCCAAGGGGAGCAGGGGCTGGGGCTGCTCCCAGGTGACTTGGAGCAAGGCAGGAAAGGACATGGGGCCGGGGACTGTCTGGCTCCTACAAAGCCCACCAGACTTCAGGGGAGATGCATCTCCCCCTTATTCCCTCACAGTGTTACCCAGACCATGCTCAGATCCAGGTGAAAAACAGCCTCACTCTCCCCTCTGTAATAGATGTGAATTGGATGCTCTGTGCTTTTGCTATTGAGGAAAAGTAACCAAGCCCTCTCTTACACATCTCCTTGTTCTGCTGCCCTTAATTATCCCTCTGGTATTTAGTCTAGAGGGAGTGCAAGGCTGGGGGAAAATCTGGGCTAAACCTCCTTGCTTCAGTCAGCCACACAGTGACCAAAATAGGAAGCAGGAGCTGAAAAGACAAAACCAACCACAAAAAAGTCTCGCTGACCCACTCTGCTGATAAGGGCCTGCCTGCAGGTTGGGTGCAGAGCTGTGCAGGATCTCACTGTTAGGCTGGTCCTTGCTCGCAAGAAGATGTTCTCTTTCAGGTGACTTTTGGGGCTGCCCTCCTCTTCCCTCCCTCACCAGAAGGACTGAGGATGCTGTGCAGCCGCTGCTGCCTCCCCATAGGAACAAAGCAGTGTGTGGGAGAGACCCTCTCTCATAAGACCTGCTCCTCTTTCAGCCTTTCTCTCCTTGTCAGATGCAAAGACCCGCCGGTCTCTCCCATTAAGAGCAGAGCCAGCTTTCTTGCCCCTCCCTGAGGCGCACTGCGGTTACCATCATTCACATTTTTGGGCAGAGAAGACGCACAAAGGCAGGACATTTTACAAGAGGTGGGAAAAGCCAAGCAAAAAGGAAATCCCGTGCTATTTCCACAGCCTGCCCTGTTGCCGGGGAGATGTTGGCTTGCTCAGAAAGGCGTGCTGTTGCCTGGAGTGGCCCATGTGCTGCTGGAAAGTAAGGGTGGGGGGCAAGAGAGGGCACAAAGAACTCAGGGAGCCTCACACGAGTTCTGCTGGAGGCTCTGTTTCCTGAAAGCTGCCTCTTCCGTGTCCCATGAACATATTTTCCTCCTTTGTCACCTTGCAGTCCCTCGAGTCCCTGAACGCACAAGATCTTGCCTTGGTCAGTGATCCCAGTAAAATAACAGCAGAGAAAGACGATCTTTGCACAGCAAGAGCAATGGCCCCAGAAGCAGGGGCTGTTTTCCCATAGTCATACTACTAATATAGGTAGCATTTAGACCGGAGACAAAATAACCTTCTATCAAGGCTATCACGGGTTGCTCCCGCAGACAGAATTTGGCTTGGAAGAGCCTTCCATTTAAAAAAGGCTGTAGAGCTGGAGCTGCCAAGCCTTCGTGCAGAGTTTACTCAGAATAAGTTTGTAGGTCTGTACTCCTTTCCAACCTGGGTAATTACAGCAGAAAACTGGCAATTCGTTTAAGGTTAAAATGTGATCTGGGAGCTGGCACCGCCTGCGTTTTGACTATTTATAGGGCAGCAGTAGTAGCTGTAACTGACAGTCAGGATCCCGGTCTGCTACGGACATGTAATGGTGCTGGAAAGCAGGAGGAGGTCCCGGGTTTGTGAAGAAGGGGGCTGATACCCACTCAGTAGAAAGAGAAGAGATGGGGACTCAGGTAGAAACAGCCTAGAAAGTGGAACAACAGTGCAGTGAGTGACTGATTGCACCAAATCCTCCATCCCCAGAGGTGGATCCAACCTGCCTTTCTTCCAGCAGAACCCTATCAAGCATCATGTGAGCTCAAAGATCCAGAGCTTCCTTCCCCCTTTACTTCCCCAGGGTGGCCTAGCGAATGCGTTTTTGGTTGAAATTCCTGTAAAAAAGCCCTTTTGCAATAGAGCTGAAAGGAGGCAGGGGAGGGTGGGTGCTGAGCTGGGGCCGTGCCACCTTGCCAAGCACTCTGTGCTGATGTTTCACACGCTGGTCCTGTTTTGGGATGAGAGCTGTTGTGTTGGCATTGCAGTGTGTTCACCCTCACTCAGAAGTGAGCATTGAGCTGCTTTTTGGAGTCTCTGTGGAGCTGTGGGCTGGTGTTAGTGAGCGGCAGCAGCAAGGGGTGATGGATGGTCAGCCCCTCTGCCAAACACGGAGCACTCAGAAAGCAGAGCCTAAATAACACATTTCTTGAGGAAAAAAAAGAAGTATTTGGATACCCTTCAGCACCTGAAGTGAGCCAGATGAGGAGGGCTGGTGCAATCACACCTCAAAATGCCATTCGCATCTGCCTTGTTGGTGAATGCTTGGCACCAGTCAGGCACAGAACATTGCTGACACTTCTCCCAGTTCTGAGATCAGCCTTACAGCCCACACAATGATACCAGTGACCAGAGTAGATGCCATTAATTAACATCAGTCTTTTTTAATTTTAATTTTCTTTTGAAGAAAAGGAGGGTAAGTAATGTCTCAGGGTAATGATGATAGGAAGACCACAGTCATTTAGCCTCAGCATCAAGATTTATATTGAATCTAATCACATCTTTCACCACCTAGAGAGGGTTTTTAAGAGGATGGTGCCTGAGTCTTCCCAGAGAGACACAGGGAAATACTGGAGGGACAAAGCAGTGGGCACAGATGTCAGGAAAAGGATCTCTGATCAGATCAGGTTCAGATATAGAATGCTGTTCCACTCCTGTCTGTGCATTCAGGGGCTGGGGGGCCTCTCCTGCAGGGCCATCCAGCCCCAGAGGAGTTAAAATGTGGGCAGTGAAAACAGGGAGGGAAAAGTGGGGAGCGAAAATAGGAAATACCCAAATAGGCTTGTAAGTTATGGGTATTGCCACCAGGATACACTCAGGTACTCTGGGCTCCTTGTTTGATGTTTGTCTGGTGGCCAGCACTATCTTCAGGTGCTCACTTGTCTTCAGAGATGGGTTGTGTTTTTTTTGGTCTTTCTGCTTTCAGTTGCTATTTTAGGCTTGGTTTCAGGGTGACAAAGAACACCAGCCATCCAATGGATGTGGTAGAACAAGAGGTAATGGCCTCAAGTTGCAGCAGGGGAGATTCAGGTGGGATATTAGGAAATATTTCTTCTCCAGATGAGTGAGGCAGTGGCACAGCTGCCCAGGGAGGTGGGGGATTCACCATCCCTGGAGGTGTTCAAGAGCTGTGGAGAGGTGGCACTGAGGGACATGGTGGGGTGGGGTGGGATTGGGTTAGGTGATCGTAGAGGCATTTTCCAGCCTTAACAATTCTGTGTTTCTATCATCCCCACATCTCCAGCGCTGTGCAACATCCTTACCCACTGTGAAAATGTAGAACCTGTGCTGCAGGGAGATTTGTCCGGTTCCTGGCTTGCAGGCTCTTTCTTTTCACCAAGAGGTCTCTGCATTTGATTCTGCTTTTTGGATGATGCAGGGAGTATTTTTAGTTTGAAAAGGAGGAAAAAAAAGCAACACGCCACCTCTTCCTTTGGAAGGAGGGCTGCTGTTGTGCAATTTGTTGTTCAAATGCATCTGCAGCTAGTGCTGCCAATGGGACTGTGACAGGGAAGCACGAGGGTGCGAGGGGCCTTGGGCTGTGACACCAGTGCTGCGTTAATGACAGCGCGGTGCTGCTTCTGTGCCACATGGTGCTGCTGGAAGGCGACTTCCGCGAGAGCTTCTGCAGAGGCCCTGGTGGGACAGCACAAAACTGATCATTGAGAGAGCTCTGTCACAGGAGCACAGCAGGAGCAGAGCTCCAGGGGGTGAGCATGGCCCCGCTGCCTGCCCAGGGGCTCCATGGGCTGGGGTTAAACACACAGTGCAGCAGAAGATCTGAAGATGCTTGCTTGTTCCCAGCTCTGCGGCTGGCAAGGCACTGAACTGCTCCCAGAAAGTCCCCCCTCCCAGTCTTTGGGCTGAATTCAGCTGCATGTGGTGCGGGTGCCCTGCGCAGGTACGTCTGCAAGTCATTTCTCCCAGCAGGGCTGCAGATAGCGACAAACGACTCAGCACATTTCCAATATATGTCAGTTATTAAGTGGATTTATTTCCATCTCTTTGGGGAAGCATTGGAAAGCGCTGCTGAGTCACACTGCTTACTCACCGCTTTTAGAGTACCATTCGAAATATTTGTTTTCCGAATGCCTTCCATGATGTTCCTATTATTTGAATGTCTCCAGATGTAAAACGAAAACATTTATACAGGGCATCCCTGGCCTTTAACAGATCTCTGGCGTGTAACTAGGGAAAAAGCATCAAACAAATGTCTTGGGAAAGGATCCCTCCTTTGGCTCTGCCATTGGGTGTTTACTCAGTGTTGCAGCAAGGGACAGTGTGGGTTCTGCTCTGGAGCAGCCTGCGGCTTCCCAGCAGCACAGGGTTGGGAGGGAGGGAGAGAGGAAAGCCTGCAGCAGGACTGGGGCAGCACTGGTGCCTCCTGCGGTCCTCCTGGGCACCATGCCCATCTGTCTCCTGAGCTCCTGCTGAGCTCCCGGAGTCACAATATGAGCCTGAGGAGGTAATGACCTGCACACGGGTTGTGTTGGGCTGTTAATCAGTGTTGTGTGCATGGGTAACAGCTGAGGACTCCCTGCCCCTTTGTGCCATGGTCCCCATCCCACCCCAGCCCCACCACCAGGGGTGATGCTGGCACTATGTCCAGGGAAGATCATGCCTGCCAGCTTTGGGCAGGTTTCCTCCTTCCTGCTGCACTGGACATTTCTCATGGTGGTAGGAATCTCTGTTCCATAGAACCATCGAATCATAAAGGTTGGAAAAGAACTCTAAGGCCCCCAAATCTGACCCCAGCCCACCCCCTCCATGCCCACTGACTGCACCCATCAGTGCCACATCCCCACAATTCTGGAACACCCCTAGGGACAGGGACTCCCCCACCTCCCTGGGCAGCTGTGCCACTGCCTCACTGCTCTTTTGGAGAAGAATTTTTCCCGTTATCCAACCTGAACCTCCCCTGGTGCAACTTGACCATTACCTCTCACCCTATCTCTGTTACCTGGGGGCTGCGGCTGACCCTCATCTCTCTACAACTTCCCTTCTGGGAGAGAGTGGAAAGGTCTCCTCTGAACCTTCTTTCCTCCATCCCTGTTGGGTTAGGCTGCCCCAGAACAGCCCAGCCTTGTGGTCATCCAAGCCTCACAGCCAGAGACAGCAATGGGAAGCAGGGAGCATCTTCTGAGTCCAGGAGAATGCTCCACTTGCCAGTTTTATTGAGTTTTTATTTGAAGTAATGAGAGCTTTTAGAGCTGGTAGACAATATTCCAGGCACCAGTGGAACATACTTCTTAGCAGGAAGAGATCCCTGTAGTCCAGCAAGTTTGATATCATCCTGTGAAGTTATGAATTGTTCTCTTCCAAGAGAGAACCAGGTTTCATCTCCATTCCTCCCTTCTTCCTTTCATCACATCTGTGTACTTTTTTTCTCTTAGGCAGCGCAGGTTTTGGCAACGCAACCTGCCTGGAGGCGCAGTCTGACATTTCTGTGGATGCCAGAAACAGGGGAATTTTAGGCTAGGTTTTCCTCTCTGAATTTCAGTTTCAGTAATCACTATTCATACAGCAAATTCTCCATTGGCACTGCTGGATTAACATGTTCTGTGCTCTGGTCTCATCTTCAGCGTATAGTTGAATAGCAGCTACAGTGTTCCTTTTCTGGTGGCTGCTGCCCTTGCTTGAATCCCTTAGATTTTAGAGATGACCCCCCCAGGACACACAGGTTTATCAGCAAGTCCCAGCTCTGCATCACTGCCTTCTTGTTTTTTTTGGGTGGCTTCCTTGCTGGCTCCTACCCGTGAGCACCTTTAACAGTGAACTGCCAGTCTGCTGCTCAAGGGTGCTGCAGTGACACAACTGCAGGCTGCTTCATTCCATGTGCTCCAGAGGCAGAAGCTGTACGCAGACTCAAAAGACCACATTCACCATGACAGTGGGTCGTAAGCCAAGTGCAGGCTCGTCTTGTGATGAGTGAATGGGCAGAAATCCTCGTTTCCTCTGCTGCCACTCTGAGAACAAAACCTTGGGGAAGGATGCAGGATGGCGAAGGCTGCAGGATGGCTCATGGCAGCATGCTGGGTTCTTCAGAGCTCTGTGGCTCAGTTCTTTGGGTCACTGTGGGCCAAGAGAGGAGGATCTTGTATTCCTTGCTGGCTATCGAGGCAGAAAGTGTGCTCACATGACACCCCCAGCCTGCAGCCCCAAGCTGTGCTGCTCACAGCCTGTCTCACAGCCCGAGCACTTCAGCATTCAGGCCAAAAGCTGAGATGGGCTCTGGGCCACGAGGTTTCAGAAACCAAGAGGAGCCAGGCCCAGACTACACCTCCGCTCATTTTGCAGCTGTGGGCTGCTGAAGGCACAGGCATTTTGCCACGCTGAGTCACCCCTCCCTTGGACTGACCCCTTTTCCTCGCTCCCCTCTTCTCATCAGCAGAGCTGTATGGTGCATTGGCCCTGGTACATGAGCATCCTGGCCAGCAGCAGTCCATGCAGGCACAGCTCCCTGCTCAAGGTGCTCAGCTGCAGTGCCCCAAGTTCTGGGCAGATGAGCCCCCTGCCCTGGGGCCATGCTGCTGTCAGCATGCATTGCAGCTGCCTTTATCCCAGCCCGTCCAAGGGCACAGAGGTCTGAAGCGGTGGACAGGCTGTGGCACCATGCCCCTTTTCTCCTTCGCCATCAACTTTATATTGGACAAGCAGGCAGCAAATAAACAGGGCTGGTGGGGAGGG